CCGTGCCCGCCGGCCCGCCAGGCCCGGGGCCGCCGCCTCCTGCCGCAGTAGTCCTGCGGGCTCCTCGTCGCCGTACTGGCGCAGCGCGACGGGCGGGCGGGCCCAGGGCCCGGGCGCCTGTGCCAGCCGAGAACCCGCCAATGGCGGGAGGCCGGAGTAAGCGCCCGTGAGGCGTCCTGAGCGCGGGGCCGGAGCCAGGAGCGGTGTCTCCGTGCCTTAATAACCCGTCACGGGTTTGTTTCCTCCTCAAGCTCTATAAACGTCTACATACACAGCGTTCTGTGGCAAGGAGGGCTGTTAAGTTGGATGGCGTTTGAGCAATAACTTCCTTTTCCTTTTGTTACTTGATCTTTCCTAACTTACTCCATCATCTTCTAGTTTCACGCTGGATGAGACTGAAAAAAATTGCTGTAGTAGATCTCTGTTCTGTGCTTAAACGTATGCTAGTGGCCTTGTACCTGTGGTGGCCTGAGGACATACGTGGGCATCTAAGCAGAGACACTTTTCCTGCGGCGACTGTAGCTGCTCAGATTAAAAAGTAGACGAGGTTTTTTTTTTTTTTTTTTTTTTTTTTTCCCTAGGAGATAATGACTTCTTAATCTCTCTTCCTCTCTGACATCCCCTCTACTCCACAGGTACCAACTGTCTTTTCTCTTGGTTGTATATGTGAACTTGGAGGAATCTTTCTCGAGTTCTGTTTGTCTCTCATATTTACTGCCTCAATTTCAAACTGAAGTGTATTTTATGCATGAAAATTTGCCTGTCTTCAGAAAGACCTTGGAAATAGATCTTTCAGGCATGTCCTTAAAGTATTTGGGAAGTGTGTGGGTCACCATGTTTTTCTCTCATTATTCCAAATGTGATTGTTTAATAGATATGAATAGAGCATTGCTGTGTCCTGATTCTATAGCATGTCTATAGTAACCTTGTGTAGTCTGTTAACTCCTCATCTTCTTAAAAAAATGAAACAACAAAAGCCTCTACCCAAGGCCTGTTTCTGAATAGGATTGTTCATTTTCTAACTAAAGAAGTCAGTGCAAACTCTAACTGAACTAAGAATCAGCATTGTGTAGGTTGTCCCGATGACTCTGCGACTCCCTGGAAAGGAGAGGTTCCTGAACTTGATTGAGGCTATGTTAGCATTTTTTGAAAGTTGACAAGATGAATGTGTATTGATAGATGAAAAATATTGAACGTTATCCATGTAACAAAAGAGTTGGGAGTTCATTAGTGTGAGTTTTTGTTACTCAGTGTGTGTGGGGGAATTACTTTTTACAAGTTTAAAAAAAAAAAAAGGGAGGGGGAACAACTTCACTTTACTGCTAAGTTCCGTGATCTGCATAGATCACTCACTGTTAGAAAAATCTCATTTCCTTCCATTTCAAATTCATATGTGTGTATAGTTGCAGTTTTCCATTTTTGATTTCAAGAGCTGCTTGGTTCATGCTTCTTTTCAGCTTAACTATGGTTTCTATCACAGATTTCTTTCAGCAAGAAAGGAAAATCTTATCCTACAGATAATTTCAAGTGGCTTTGAAATTTTATTTTGTATTCAGTTTGCAAAACCCTCATTCATTGTATGAAACTAAAAGATATATTTTGATACTGAAATTTTCTCTAAGTGGAATTTTGCAGATGGAGAAAATGTTTACAGTTAGTATAGAACAGCCAGCTTCAGTAGTTTACTAACTTGCTGGTAGAAATGACTGTGAAATGGAGCAAGGACTCTGCGTAAGATTTTGCTCCTCTTCAGAGTGATTTTTGTTAAATACAGCCGTATACCTCTGTTTGCCAGAGCTGTGTCAGCTCTTTTGCAGAGCCTTAGCTGTGCCTCTGCAACTTACTCGGCTGGAAGAAGTTAGAACACTCATGTTGAGTCACCTTCCATATGATCAAAGTTGAACTCGTTCTTGTTTGCTGGGTTGTTGGTTTTGTTGTTTTTTCCAGTGTATCTTGTGGTCAGTCATAACATGACACCTAATCAGCTGCTTCTCTCCTTCCTTTTTGCAGTGTTATCAACACAATGCTGGTGACATGTGCTGTTTGCTGCTACCTGTTGTAAGTATAAATAATGTCTTACCTCTTAATCGAGGCACAGTTCTGATGTGATCAAAAGCTCCTTTTTTCTATCTTCAAGACATTTAGGAAGAAGCTTTTCAAATGTGTCACAGAGATTTAGACACATGGTATTCTTTGGCAGCTCTTAGCATTCTTAGTTCTAAAGACCTGCAGCCTGTTGGTGGATACTGAATTAGAACAAACCTGACTTCCTCTTGTCTTCTGACACATCACTGTTGAATAGGCTCTGTGTTGACTTGATGTTACTCCTTTTCAATTCACTGGCTTATTCACTCACAAGTATAATGGCAGTTTGTCAATTCTAGAATTTTTCTGATTCACAGTAGAGCAATGACTTTTTGCATTTTTCTGTTATACTCTTACATTTATTTTGAAGGTGATACTAATTTAAACCTACTGATGAGTTTTGCTTTACTTGATTTGGTTGAATATAGTCTCAATCTTGTAGAGGAGTAGGTGGAAAACCTCATATGTGGAGTTTTTTGATATATGACAAATAATTTTTGTGACAAACTTGTGACGCTTAGATATATTAAGACTGTTTCTTTTGAAATGCACAGTGTATTTTAAGGCTGCCTTTGTTCTGTAAGAGAATTAGTAGAAATACCAAAATGACTTGTCGAGGAACTCCTCATGCCATGTTTGGTTTCTTATTTTTTATCAAGAGCTAAACCAGCTGTAGCTGGAGTCTGCAAGAGAAAGCATGGTTATTGTTTTCTCTGTCTCTCATTTTTTTCCCGTTTATCTTCTTTTTTTTAAAAAAAAGAGAAAAAATACTGTAAAGATGGATCTTGTCAAAGAAAGTGCTATGCAGAAGTAACTTTGAAAGGTGTTTGGGAAGAATTTGTTATGGAGAGTAAATCAGTAAAAGTCTGGTTAGATCTTTAGGGTTAACTGGTAATAAGATCACTGTTCAGAATTCCACTTGAACATGAGTTGTATTTGTACTTTCCTGAAGTATTTAGGCATTATTTATGCTACTCTAAGGAGCTTAACATGAATATTGAGTGAAACACATCTATAATCTCAAGAATCATTCTTAAGAACTGGCAGCCAAAGCCATATTATTGGTGTCGGCATGTTCCAGGAGGGGCCTGTTTGGTTCCATGTTGGGTTGGCCTGTGGCACAGGCTTATGCAGGATTGATCAAGTTTAATAACGTGATGTTCAGGTTTTATTCAGGTAAGGCCTATTTTTTTTTGTTTTAGTCGGAGTATTCAACATGTGAAGTCTTAAGAAATCATTGTGGATAATTGTAAAAGTACAGCAAACTTGGTGCTGTGTTTTGTATCTATGACAGTTACTTAAATTAAAGTTTTGCTGAGCAGATGTAGAAACATAAGAAGAGCTTTGTAGTGCCACAACTTGAATTTGGGATTGAAATTTGGGAATTGCAGTACTATGAAGACCTCCTTGCCTGCACATAAAGTATGTAGCAGCCCAGTCTCATGATAGGTCCCAAATGTTTAGCTAAGAAGGCAACTAGATGCTCATTTTTACAAGGTTACAGTAAGTTGGGGGGGGTAGTGTTCTGGGTTTTCTTCTGTTTTGTTTTTTTTTTTTAAGTTTAAAGCTCTCACTTAAGTTCTTCCTACTGTGTATTTTGACAGAAGTAATGTCCTACTCTTCTAAAATCCTTGAAGTTTAGTGTTTGTTTTCTTTATTGTTTGAAGAAGGACAGTTTCCTTGAAGTTAAGGCTACATGGCATCTGCAGAATCCTCCACATTATGATGTGGAATGTATTTGTGGTAGAATTTTTTAACTTTGACTGAATGTGGTGAACTTTTCAATTGTACAGGGGTATTTCGCTTGTAAGTTTAGTGATTTTTTTTTTATTATTATTATTTTACTTTATTTTTGGTACTGAGACAGACCTATTATAAATGTAGTGTCATTGATGTGATTTATAGTCTGTTCTTGCGTGTCCAGTGAGGGTGGGTCTTTCGTAATTCTTGTGGGCTCTAGCTTGTTTTCTGTATTACCTTTGGTTTTCTCCGATTACACCTTGAAAAAAGATAAGCAGGAAAATCTTACTGTGCTTTAAACCATCAGTAATTATACCCAACCACCTAAGTTACATATATAGTGTTGGTTTTCTCCGATTACACCTTGAAAAAAGAGAAGCAGGAAAATCTTACTATGCTTTAAACCATCAGTAATTATACTCAACCACCTAAGTTACATATATAGTATCTGCTTGCCAGAATACAACAAAAAGCAGATTTTTCTCCTCATGTTCCAAGATACAACTTGCCTCATCACACAGTCTTTTTTTTAATAATCATCCCCCCCCGAATTCTGTGTAGAATCATAGAGTAGCCGTGGTTGGAAAGGACTTCAAAAGATCGTCTGGTCCAACCTTTCTTTCCTCTGTTTTATTCAAACATACGTAAGTTTGTTCTTGCCATATCATTTTTTTTTTTTTGCGGGAGGCATTGAAAACATTTCAGACCTTAATTTTAGTGACTAAAGAGACTAATTTTTCATACCAGTCTTGAAGGAAGCGCGAAGGAATGCTTTCTGAGGATTCTTTGTTGGATGTGTTAGGGTTAAAATAACTTGTGTTGTGCCAGGTGTGGTCTTCTGTGGTTTTGTATCCTTAGTGAGTGGCTGGTGCTGTTACCTACTTCTTTTTAGAGTAGTTTAGAACTCTGTTAGACCTAGTTTCATACTCTTGAGTTACCTTTCCAGTTGAAAATAGGGAAAAACAATTTCCTGTCTTCATTAAACACCACTTGAGTGACAAATTGATTTTCACCAGACTGAATTTGTGCTAACCAAATTTGAAGTGAGTTGCATGTCAACTTAAAGCTGTTTCTTCTGTGTTTAGATGTAGCAGTGATCGTTTTGAATAACCATATTGATCACATGGTGTTAATTTGGTTGTTCTATGGAAAATTTTTGCATGGGTGTGTAATTTGTGAACAGAAGTTGCATTCTCCCTCAAAAGGCTGCTGAGTACACAAGCATCAGGAACCTGATAAAATACAAGGCAAAGTATATATGCTGCAGAAATTATATGTTACCATGTTGTAAAGTACTGTCAATGTTTAAATCTATTTGTTTACAAAGCAGTTCTGAAACTGTACCATGATACTCTACTAACAGAGAACAGGGTCCTTGAAAAATGGTATTATTTGCTACTGATTCTAAAATGTGGTTGCTCAAATTGACATTTAAACAAGAGATAGCAGGACCTTAATTTGTAATATGCAGCATAGACAGATGGCAGTTATGGTAGAAAGACCTTTTAAAAAAATCTTTCTGTAGAACATAAGGGACTTTAATTTCCTTGTCTGAGCTGGGCAATTAACACTAACTGTTGTAAGTGGTATCTGGTAAAATTTGAGGACCCGTGGGTGGCTCGAATGCCGTACCTGATTTTAGCAGCTCTAGAACATTACATGTTGGATACAGAGGCTTGCTTTGTTTTACTTTAATGCAGTGTTTTGTTTTGCTTTGTCATGATAAGTTACTGTATAAAGCAGTGTCGCTTAAGCAAAATGTGGGGAAAGCTTCTTCATGACTTATCTTGAATGCATGGGAGTCCTAGAGTTCAGTGCCTAACTACTGCTTTAAATGACTAGGCCCTAGCAGAGCGGGGAGGAGGAATATACTGTTGACCTGTAATGCCACTATGGCTCGGGGCTTGGGTATCCCGCATGGTCCCAACAAATAGCTTTTGAAAACTGCACAGTGCTTGCCTAAAGCATGGTTATACTGCTGGGACACGTCAATATTTTGAATGTGCTTCCAGCTCATTTAATTCACAGCCATGCTGGGTCTCAACTCAGGAAGCATAGAGAGGTGAGATGTTTGTGCATAGAGTTCCTTCCTTCTGTACAGTGAGAAAGAGAATAATGTGCTTTAACAGACTTTTAGTGTTCCTACCCTCCTCCCACTTCTGTTAGTTCAGGATGCTAAAGGCAGATGGTGCAGTGCTCTGGCACCCCTTCTAGCTGTCTTTTGTATCTGAAAATTAATGCTTGCAAAATAAATTCCATGGTATTTTTAAGAGCTGTTTTTCCCTTAAGTAAATTTAACATAGTGATTAACATGGTTTCAAAATAAGTTCTTGTCATCGCTTCGGATAGCGAAGTAGAAACGTGTCAACCTAAAGGTTATTGGCTCTTCTTGGTGATGTCTTGTTGATGTTTTAATTCCTTTGTAGATCCTGCTATGTATTTCCAGGCTTGCATGACTGATAGACTGCTGCAGGCTCAGTTTGCCTTTTTAACTAGAGTCCTACTTTGTGCAAAAGGGTGAAAGAGGCATTGAAAATAAATATTTGTAAATTTTAGGAGGATTGATGTGTTTTCTTTAAGTCTGGCCCACATCTTTTGCCGCTGGCTGTTCTAGCCATTTTACAGCAGACCTGCACTTCGTTGGCTGGTCAAAGCATCAAGGTTTGTGTGGAATTTTCCATGACTGCCTAAGCACTCTGATACATTTGTGGCAGCTCCCATTACAAAGCTGCTCTGCTTTTTCTCCTCCTTACAAAGCATTCTAGAAATAGCAGACAGATGAGCCAGTGTGTTCACTAAGTGTGTGTATGTAGTTAGTATTTAACACAGATTTAAAACCATGGAAGCATCCATCGCTTTTTCTAAATCTTGTAATATTTACAAAGCAAATATATCTTTTTAACAGTGGAATATTTATTTCTGTTTAGCTTTCCTGGATATTTTCCACAAACTACATTCCTCTTGTTCTTGCTTCTGGCTATGGCTTCTGCAGTGTTAGTTTGTGAACTGCTCTGATGACAAGGCTGCTGTCGCTGCTGATCTGGGGTTTGTTGTCATTGATTTTGCTGTCGTCGTATTTTTTAATTTCGTGTGTTCCTTTAGCATTGTACCCTTTTGTTTCAGGTCCCTGTTTCTTGCCCTCTGTGCCAAGTTTAAATTCACTTTTGCTCAATCTCTGATGAAAAATATACTATGTCTGCAAGGGTAGGTTGTCATACACTGAACATAAGAGCAAATCAGAGAAAGTATGTTTCTCAGGCCTTTGTTTTAAAGGCACCGAGGAAAGGTGTCTCTCTCTTACCTTTCTATCTTCTGACCCCACAAATACCTGAGTTTCATATGCCTCAAAACACTTTCCTGTTAAAGGAAAAGTGTGAGAGAAATGCTGTCAGGTGGTTTTGTGTTGCTTTAAATTGAATGGGACAATTTATTGCTTCAGCTGGGGAATGATTTCGTACCAGATAATCATTGCTGGTATCTGGTCTTGTGTATGAGTTTGAGTAAAAATTTGATTTGATACTAGACCTTCCTGCAAATAGTCTTTTCTTCTGTGATAGTACTTGTGCTTCGGACAAGCCTTTCCATTATCATAAGCTTTGTAATTTGGCTGATGTTCTCTCTTTTGGGTTGGGGGGTTGTCTTGCAGTTGGCTGATTGCGATTCTGGCTCAACTCAACCCGCTCTTTGGGCCGCAGTTAAGCAATGAAACAATCTGGTATCTTAAATATGACTGGCCTTAAGGATATCTGTCCTCTGCTGCAATTTATTAACTAGGTGAGTATGATCAGATTTATTAGTATATTTGGTATGTTAAAGCTTCAGGAGAAACTGAATAGAAGCGTGAGCAGTGTGTTTAGAATTGCTGGCTGTTTTGCAGGAGAAATCTGTCTTTCTATAGGCTGCAACAAAACATATTTTGGATGTTAATCTTGACTGGATACCGTGAAAAGCTTGGACTGAATTCTTGTACAGGTATTTTTGTCCACTATCATGTTATGTGGTGCTGCGTTCAGTAAGCTGAGATCTGTAAGGAGAGCAGTACTTTTCTTCTTCCTACCAAAAAGTAGTTAGGCTGGGGTGCCTTTTAGCAGCTAGCATAAATGGATTTCCTAATCTTAAGAATTGTTAAACCTCTCTTCAAGCGTATTATCATTTTGTCCAAGACTTGTCCTCAGTTCCAAGGCAATATAGAGTTGCCCTCGTTCATCTGGGAAGTCAGAGTGAGAACTGCAGTTAGAACAGTTCTTTATCTGCTGTCAATGTATAGCACTAACACTGATCTTACAGATGAGTGTTGTGGGTTTTTTAATGATAGCCTCTGTGCAACTTCAATCATAGATGAGCCTGGTGGTTGCTATCTGGGTAGTGCTATTGGAATGCTGTTGTTGCAGTTATTGGGCATGCTTTCTGACATGACCAGTAAAAATACAAAGTCTTGTACTGAAAGTACCATGATAACTTCAGGTTTCTCTAGAACAGCAGCATTTGAAGTTGAAGGTTCAAGTGAAGGATAGCTGTAGAAGGAAGTACTCATGATGGTAGTTTTTGTGCTGGCAACTGAATGATTAGATACACTTAACTTTTTACCTGTGGGATTTTTTTTGTCCTTTTAGGTTTAGCTGCCTACCCTCTTGCTGTTATGACTTTAGCTTCTGTTTACAGAAGTCCAATAGCAGCAGACAGATGACAGTTGATGCTACAGCTCAGTTAAATGCTGTCTGTAAAGCATCCTGAACATTTACCCTGAAGCAAAGCTCCACTGCTTCAAAGTAGGCTTCATCTGAACTGTGGTGTTCTCAGACTGTGGCATTTATATATATCTGTAGCTTCTCTTTTAAGCAGCAAGCAGAAGCTAAAGGTAGATTTGGCCCTGCTTCAAGTAGAGGCCTGTAATTAGCTAAGTCAGTCAAGCTGAATTTCCTAGGTGCATTGTCACTGCTCATGTGTTAACACATAATTAGTTAGCTAAAACAGAGACCAGTGTATTCTAGTAGTGAGCATACAGATCCCTGAATCCTGTAGGATAGTTCAGTTGCCTGGGATCTGAAATTGAAACGTAGTTTTCTGGACAAGTGGATGCCTTGGATATAAAAATTGGGCTTCCTTCTGATTCATAAATGGTCTGTGTGTTGCAACCAGCAAGGCCAAACTGGATGTGAGATACAACTCTTGGACTCAAGGTGCCTGCTAAAAGAGTTGGGGCTTTCCCCCTCCCTTTCAGTGAAGGACTTTCCAGAGAACTGGAGGTAGACTTGTACTAAGGGAGGGAGGGACCTGATGCATTCTAGGATGGCCAGAAAGTTGATGTGAGGCACTGTCATTTTTAAATTTACTGATGGAGAATTTGAGACCTATATAAGTGCGTGCTTGTTGTGTTACATGAAGCAGTTTGTTTCAACCTTTGATATATGTGATTTCATTGGCTTAATTTTGGAATAAAATTACGGTTCTTGTCTTTATGAAAAAGGATGCTTTAAAAAAAGTAAAAGCATATAATAATCTTCAAATATCATAGGTAAATAGTATGTTCGTTCTTGCTAGAAATGTGCTATTAGAGGACATACTGTTCTCCACAATCTTGTTTGAATTACTGTTGTAGTGTTGAGTGAGCTGAGTGTCAAGGAGGTGGCTACCTTGATCAGGCTGCGGTGTCCTGTCTTTTGCTGTTGTGTGCCTCTGCACTCGGAGCTTCCTGTTCAGTTTCTCACTAGACAGGAGCTGTGAATTAGTTTCTGTCTGAAAGAGTTGGGATATATCTCTGACACTGCACAGAATTCTATAAATATAGGTACTGTTTCTTGTTTCACCAGTTACTTTTGGCTTTTGAGATGTGCTTTTCCAGCACTCAAGGTGTGTCTACTATACTTTCTTCTGCCTCCCATTTCTCTCGGTTGAGGTTTGGATGGATTAGAACGGACAACGTGAAGAGTTAAAGAGAATGAAATGCTAACTACCAGAGTGGAGAGGTCTTATTTAAAAATGAGGATCGTTTAAGGAAACCCATTTTACTTGACCAATGCAGCAGGCTGAAAATGCACGCAGAAGGCTACTGCGTTCTAATGAGGGGCTTCTACAGATGCTGACTTGATCTATGCCAAACTACAGAAGTTTGGTCTTTCTGTCAGTGTCCCTCAAATTCAAGTGATGATGATGTATCAGATGACTTGTCTGTATAATCGAGTTAATGGCTTGGATGGCAGTACGTAAGGATGTGCAACCTGTAGCTGTGGTGAAGATGGGCTGTAGCCTCTTTTAAGCAGTGTGATCTAACGCCGCCTCTTCTCCATAGGTTTGTCAATTCACAGTTGGTGTTCTCAGACCGGGAACTTCCTTCATGCAAGTGCAAGAAGGGCTGTCATCCAGATGACTGGGTGCTGTTACAGCATTGAAAACTTTCTAGTGAATAGTTGTTCTAGCAGCTTACAATGTAACTGAAACTACTTGCAGGAGCTTCAGAAATGAAACTGCTAAGAAAGGAAGAAAGTGGAAACTATTCTTGAAGCTCCATATAGACGAGTTATCTACAGTTCCTGACAATATCTCAGTGCATTTGTGGAATGGAAATAGTTGTGGTTAACAACCGGGTGGGTCTTCAATTAGTAAATTGTCTCCATGGAAAGGAATAATTAAGTTGCCTCTTGCTTTGCAGGTAAAGAAGAGATTTCCTTCAGATGAAAAACTCCACTGACCCAAAGATGCCCTTAACGTAGTTGGTTGGATACCAAGCCTGCATTAATGCCTTAACCTTTCTAATGTGCTTCAAATGGCTTGTTCAAAGCCCTATATTTTTTCCTAATATACCATTTAACAGTGTGCCTAATGCGATTTATACTCCTCTTCAGTACTGTAAATTTTTGTCTGTTAACTTCAGGTGTGATGAAAATTTCTGAAGTTTTTATAGGTCATATGGTCAGCTCTCCTGTTCGTTTTATTCACTCTGTAGGGACTCTGTATATATCTGACAGGTCTTAGGTTGTCTCTTGCTGTGCTGTTCAACACTGTTCTGTTTGACTGCTCTTGAAAAAAATGCGTGCAATGAAACTGTATGAGGAGAAACAGTGGTGCCTCTTGTTGATGGCATTTATTTTTTAAAAGGAGTTGTATTCTTGGGAAATTTGGCCTTAAATTTCTCATGCCTGGAAATAAAACTAATCCTCTGCTTTATACAAAATGCTGTTGTGCCATGTTTAACTGTTACAATGTGCTTTTCTGTGGTTTTAATTGGACAATAGCTGGCCAGAGTTGAGCTGAGGAAACTAGATGATGTGGATAAACTGTAATAAAGTCATATAGTGTGATGAGGTGAGTGTGCTTGCTTCCTGTATCAAGACCTCGTGGATAGTTCTAAAATAGGATTAAGTTTGCCATCTAAACTTGCTGAAAGGTCTGCGGGAAGAAGTTGATGCTTAGCTTGAGAGCCTCTTTTCCGAACTTCCCATTGTCTGATGTTAGGGGGACTCAGCAGCAGGGATAACATGACTAGTTTGAAGGAAGCGTACATAGTAATTTTGATAGGAGCTTGAGTTACTCCCTGGCCTTCTTGTGGAGGATACATACAGTAACAAGCACTGAGAATTGAACAGAAAACGTAACAATAGTTTTATACTGACTTGACACTTGCCCGTGGAATTGCGGAGCTGATGAAGCACGTGACAATTGTAGGCCGAAGATGAAAGAGCACTGAGGCTCCTTGCTGTCACCTGAGTCTGGGGTTGGGAATGAATCTAGTAAGCCATTTGCTAAGGAATAGCTTCAAAGGATATAAGTACTGCTGCATGCATAGGAGTCTTCATGTATGCTTTCTTACCTGCTTATGTCATGTCCAGATAAGTCACAATTATTCCTTACTATGTTTTATTGTGCAAGGCCGTAATGGAGCAGTTCATTTTTCTCCTTTTTCTTTTTGGATAGCCCTGTTAACTTGTTCAGTGGGACAGTACTCGTTACTGTACAGGAATTTCCAAGATCCTGATGAAATGCTGTAATTTGCGGTCATCGAAACCTGGACAGCATGAATTGCAAAAGAAACAAGAATGTGTCTGCCGTTACAAATAGACATAGCGACTGTTGGGACTGGAATAGTGAATTTTTTTCAAGTTACGTGCTACTGAGAGCTGTATTTTAACGTGAGAAGTTGTACACCGCAAAGCTATATGGTCTGTGGCAAATAATTCCTAAGAAAGTTGCAACCCTGGTAATTTTACGAAAGCTTAGGTTGTTGTTTGTTCTGTTGGTGGTTTTTTTTTTTTTTAAAGGGTGTGTGGAGCATAAGATGTTGACATCGTATGGGGAGTGAAGGAGAAATGCTTCAAGTGTTCACAACTTTGGAAATGTTACAGTTTTTTAAAATATATTGATCTGCCTGTCATTTACCTTGAAGTGAGACATCAACAAAGAAGGCATCCAGTGAGAAACTGTATTAGTATATCAGCATTATCACTTTCTGTTACAAGCTTTTTATTTCAGGTTCTAAGCTATCGCTCATTGTAGAAGATACAGGAGAAGTAAAATGGCGTTCACGTGGCGTGTGTCACTGTTGGTGAATTTAATGCGCAGAGCTATTCAAAGCCTGGACCAACAAGCCATAGTTCAATTTCTGTTTAGGTGCTTTCCAGATAAAGAAATCCCCTTTATCTGGGTGGTTAATATTGTCTCTGAAACAGATGCCAGGTTGAAGAAGTTTCAAAAATAATGTTTTGTTTCTGTTCTGCTGAATGTTGTGTGACCTACTGTCTGCATC